GTAGAGCCCGGCATTGCCCGGGGATGTAACAGTAAGAGATAGATCAAGTATTGTTTTTTTTTATGAATTGGTCAAACCCAAACTCAAGCAAAAACATTGTTTTCAATCATTATGTCTATCAATTGAATAGAATTTTATTATAAACAATTGTCTTGTAAATGGAATTTTTAAAGCATTCTGAATGTAAAAATAAAGAAAAAAGTGTGCAAAACAATAAGAAACATTACATGCCAAAAAAAAAGTGAAGTTTTGTTGAAATCAGTTGAAAAATGTAGGAAATCCGAACCCATATATAAATGAACACACACACACACACACACACACACACACACACAAACAACCTGGGTTTTATAATAAGTATAACTCGATATGAGTTGTCCCCCTTTCATTCTGGCGACCGAATCGTGTTTTATCGTGTTTTCAAATTGTTTTTGCACGAAATCAAATTGATTTCATGCAAAAACAATTGTGTTTTTCCAATTTTTGGCACTGTCAGAACCGCTGCAAGGTAATTTTACGCAGTCCTGTGAAGTTTTGTTGAAAATATATAAATTTACAGATATGCATATACACAAATATGCACACACAGGTTTGTATAAAAATGTGAAATTCAAAGAAGTTAAGATTCATTTAGTTTAAAGTATTTGAATGTAATAAAATTCATTTTTTGGTAAACTTTGAAAGATAAAAACAAATTCAAGTCATAGATCACATACATCCAAATGGATATCATATTTCATTCTAGAATGAAATCTGCAAATATTTTAAGCAAAAGAACAACATGCTTTGTGTTCTGATGTCACAAGGACCTGAATGTTTACCTGTGATAGACAAGACGTAATAAAATTCATGTTGAGTTTGCTTATCATAAACAATAGGAGTTATTCTTTAAATTTAAATTTCTACTTCTGTAATTTTTATCAGATAATTATCAGATGAAACAATCGTAACATTTATGTTTCTTTGACAACCAAATATTATGAAAAGGGACCAATGAAAACAAGCATGCATGTTTTATTTTGGCTGGGGTTGAATTTTTAACTGTTGAACGCTTGCATTTAATTGGTTGAAATTTAGGTTGTTGTCATGGTAGCAATGAAATGCTTGAAATTCAGCTGCAGTTCCTCTCAAATGTAAATTTCTTTTTTTTCTCATTTCTTCAATTAGTTTTTTCCTTTCCTTTCATTATTCTTTTCTTTCTTTCAGAGGATGCTTTATTATACAAAGCAAAATCTTACACTTATTTTTTCTCATTATATTGCTGTTCAATTCTTTCAAGAATGGGATTTACACATACATATATATATATATATTTTTAAGGCAATTCACCCCAAGCAAGGTGGGAGTGCCACTAGCATGCAAGGGGTTACAGAGAATTGAGAACAAGAGTAAAGAGGCATGTCTGAGGAAAGTATACAGAGAAGGACAGGGAATAAGCTCAGGGTGTCAGATGTCGATTGACATTACACTTGAATATTGGAAGATGATAGTCATTGGGAAAGCAAGTAAGAGAAAGGGAGTTCCACAGATGGGAAGTGCAGGAGAAGAAACTGTTTGAGAAGAAGAGACGGTTAAATTTAATCGTTTTGACAGTGAAAGGGTGAAACCAAGATGACAGCATGGTAGCACATTTAAATTCACAAAGTCTGGGAAACAACGATAGTAGCTTGTCAGAACAGTTGCCATGAAAATATTTGTAGAAGAGACAGAGAGGCCACAGCATGTCTGTGGGATAGTGATTATAGACTAGATGCCAGATCAGGACCTATCATCTTGCATATTCATCTCTGGATTTTGTACATTGGGAGTGCCAGACCATATATGACAGCAATATTCCATGCAAGGATGGATGGTTGATTTATAGATATGAAGGATGGAATCAGATGTGAAAAACTTTCTGGCATAACAGAGAGAGCCAAATTTCCTTGCAGTAGATATATATATATATATATATATATATATATACACTTCTATGTGTTGCTTCACTTGAAAATGTAGGTGATCATGGCTCTCCAAAAATTCTTATCCTTTGTAGCTTCCACTCCCTGTTCTGCTATTCATTTTACACAAGCTCATTAGGAAGGTTACTTGCTGCTTTCCTCTGCCTCTCTTGCCTTCATATTGTCCAGTGAGTTTCAAATTCTCCAATCCCTCTCTCCTCATTATGTGTTCTAGAAATTTCAACTGTCACTTTCTGATTCTGTGAAGTATATGCATTCCTTTTTGTTTTTACTTTCCTTAAAATTTTCTTATTACTCACATGTTCTATCTATGGTATTTTCAGTATCATTCTGAAGAACATTTCTGTTGTCACAATTCTCTTCTTTATCTGTGAGAAAATTGTCTAGCATTCACCATCATAAAGAGGGACTAATATGACACATATTAGGACTATTTTTTTTTGTTTCTAAGGAAATTTTCCTGTTTCTTAAATCATTACTTATCTTTTGGAAGGCATCCTTTGCTATCATAATGCACCTTCAGATTTCAATGTCACATTTCTGTTCTATGTTGAAATACTTCTCAGATATTTAAATTTTCATACTTGTACGATATATATATATATATATATATATATATATATATATTAGTTGGATTGATGTAAGTTTGTGATCCTGGGTTTCACACCCTTTGCAATCGTCAGACTGGGTCACAAACTCACATCAACCCAACAAAATATGTTAGCTCTATCATTGATATTGAGCATTTTCCAATAAGTACTGTGCATATATAATATATATATAAATATATATATATATATATATATATATATATATACATATATACACACACACACACATTATACGTCTCTCTCTCTCTCTCTCTATATATATATATACACACACACACACATTATACATATATATATATATATATATATATATATATATATATATATATATATATATATATATATATATATATGAAGAAATATAGTCTTAAGATGTGCTATATTTTACGGGATAAAGTGCTCGATATCAGAGATGAGCATGTGTAAATATAAAAGTGAACATATAAGTCAACACTTAGGCGACAGTCTGTTTCATGCTAGACGCAATCATCAGGCCTAACGATTACATCTAGCATGAAACAGATTGTCACCTCTATGTTGACTTATATGTTTATATATATATATATATATATATATATATATATATATATATATATATATATATATAAAGATAGATATATTGAAATGACAAAAGGAAAACTTATTTTTGTAACACAAGTTCCATTCCTTCAGGAATTTCATCAAAGGCAAAATGCAGAGATTTTTTTAACAAAAACTGTATTTGTCCACACAGAAAACATACTATCAAAAAAACATGTGTAATGTGTTCAAATTCAAATCTATGAACATTCCTTGTAATTTTACTGTGATGTAATTTTTGTTATGTTGATAAACAAAAGTTATGTTGATAATGTTCAAAGTTTTTAATATTTTCAAATGTTCTAATTTGAATTTCAACATATTTAATGACCAACTACTCATATCCAAGTATGCCTGTCTACTAGGGCAACTCACCCTGTTGCAGATGCCTATTCAGGCACATTTATGTTTGTTCAATACCCACAGAGCCTGCCTACAGAATATTTCCACTATGCTAAGCAGACCGTAGTTACAGTTTCTGGAAAAGAGTGCATTATCTAGCATGATTAACAGTCTGAACAAGTGTGAAATGATAGTTTAGCAGACTATCATTTTTTAGAGAAGTGTATTTCTGCTCTGATTTCCTCAGTTTGATCTTATGGATCAGATACAGGACAAAATGAAGGAAGTCAATTTTGATTGGCTGAACTAGTGTCAGTGATGATAGATAGAGAAAAGTTTTTTGGGGAGTCACGTCTAAACCGTCAAACAATGTAGACGTGTTTCCTTTTCATGTCTGCTCCCCAGTGGGGAGAGAGCAACTCCACTGGATAGGTAGAGATATATACACCTACACGTTTAATAAAATAGTAAGTTTAAAATTCTCTTGTTGAAGTTCTTTAATCTCCAAACCAAAACCAACTAGTGATCACCGGCCAGGAGAGAAGACAAGAGAGAGAAGATATAATACAAGGCCTGTATATTCAAACCAGCAGTCACAATGACTTTTAACTTTGTACTAGGACAACCATCAACAGCTCCCAAATAGTTCTGTCTACCCAATGTCACTCACAAGGCTTGGGTTAGACATGGTATGCTTTCAGGCATTTTCCAAAAAAGTTCTGCACACTGGGATCGCCTCCCCAGGCTGATAAGATCAAGAAATCACCTTCCTGCCAAATTGACCTTAGTGAGATTCGAACCTGGGTTTCATGGTCAGAAAATTAATATACTAACCATTTGGCCATGTGCCCATTCAACACATTACATTCTTCTTAACTAGGATGCTACGTAATGGCTCCAGTCTACAAACTGGTAAAGATGGCTGATATGAACTCATTCAACAATAATCAGATACTGGCTGACTAAAATCAATGGACATCAAGCTCTTTCAATTCCAGTAGCCCCTTACGTCTTAGTGGCATTATCACCTTACCATAAAGTGATTAAAAAAACGTTAGGCCAACTAAAGTGCAAACCAATGAATCAGAATGAAAATGAGAGCTGTAAAATCTTTGTGGACATGTGACACTATGTAAAGCATCTTATCCCCAAATTTCATCTGGGAGTACAATAACATACATCATATTACATGGAAAAAGTAGGGGTATATTTTGGCTTAGGAGAGTATATCATTTTATAACTAGGTGTTGGTTTTGTTTAGGGCCATATCAACCTCTATGCATTATTTAATGCTGAAATCTAAATATTTTATATGCATTTTTTTTTAGATAATAATGGTTTTCATGATACAAGTCTTATTAATTAACTGAAATCCAAAGAGAGAAAAGGCGGATTCATGATTTTCCCAAGGGTATTTGCGAGTAAGTGAATATATTTGGAATTGGAGCTCATCTCTCAAATTAAAAATTCCAAGCAATTATCCATTACACCACCTGCACATCCCAACTTACAGCACCAAGTATTCCCAAATGATCACCCATCTAGGTACTGACTAGGCTTGACATTGCTTAACTTCAGTGATTGTATGGGAACTGGTGTTTCAACTTGATGTGGGTATAAGCCTATACCTGGGGCTTTAAAAGAGCCCAACCTTAGATATTTATAGAGACCATTTCAATAACCACCAGTCAGAGTTAATCATGCCATGAGTTGCTCCAGATATGCACACAGTACATTTTATCTCATCATTCACCTGTTACTTGCAGTTGTCCAATATGACACATATTAACATGATACATATCAGTATACTTTAGGCTGGGGATATATTTTAGACTAGCAGTAGAGCCCTGTGTTGCCTGGGGATGTAACAGTAAGAGATAGATCAAGTATCAACCATCATAAAGACTGAAAAATAAAATTGACAAAGATTATTGTTTAAGGTTGACGTACACGCATGTCTTAATTAGTTTTTCTTTTTTTTGTTTTTTTTACGAATTGGTCAAACCCAAAGTCAAACAAAAACATTCTTTTCCATTGTTATGAGTCTATCGATTGAATAGAATTTTATTATAAACAATTGTCTTGTAAATAGAATTTTTAAAGCATTCTGAATGTAAAAATAAAGAAAAAAGTGTGCAAGACAATAAGAAACACTACAAGTTTTGTTGAAATCGGTTGAAAAATGTAGGAAATCCGATCTCATATATAAATGAACACACACACACACACACAAACAACCTAGGTTTTATAAGTATAACTCGATATGAGTTATCCCCCTTTCATTCTGGCAACAGAATCATGTTTTATCGTGTTTTCAAATTGTTTTTGCACAAAATCAAATTGAATTTGTGCAAAAACAATTGTGTTTTTCCAATTTTTTGGCACTGTCAGAACCACCGCAAGGTAATTTTATGCAGTCCTGTGAAGTTTTGTTGAAACCAGTTGAAAAATGTAGGAAATCCAATATATAAACGTACAGACACACACACACATACACACACACACACACACACACAATCTGTGTTTTATAATAAGTGAGATCAGCATTTCTCAACCTTTTTACCCTTGTGGAACCATCGAAATAGATTTCATGTCACAGGGAACATAAAAATTATTATATACCATTATTAATATCTATCTCTTTTATATTTCTTATCATAGTTCATATACTAAACATAATATACAGTGTGCATGCATCCTGTACTTGAGTGAATCGCTCAATGATACACTAATCCATAATGTACAGGTTCTGGCCACTAACCAGTGAATGTGATTTCACACTGATGCCATATAAACATTGTTAAATACATTTCCTATGATTATTATAATTTTAAATAATATAAGAGATCAATTAGAAAAGATCCAACTCAATCCATAAGACATTTGGCACATGTGAGAGGAATTTTGCTTTTAACAGTCCAAAGAGCAGTGAAAAAAGACTTTAAAATGAAATCATACATGAAATGTGTGAGGCAACTTGTTACTCCAGGACAGAGAGTTAGAAGGTAAGAGAGGGCAAAGATCATCTTGAATGTTGGAAAATTATCTTGGAATAATATATATATATATATTTCAACTTAATTTCAATCCTTTATGAGCTTCTGATCCTTAGCTATTATTAATTAATGATGAACATGTCATTTTTGTTTATGTTCAATTTCCTCATAATTCTTCTCTTAAGCTTAGAGAGTAAAGATATATTCTTATTGCTCAAAGTAGAGTCCAATAGTGTTATAAAAACCTTGGAAAATTCCAGTAAGATATCTTTAATCATTTCTAAGGAAATCTTTGGTTCAAAGCTTAATCTAATAAATGGACAATTTTGCTTTTACACCTGGTATTGCACTGTTGTTTTTGCTCACTTTATAACTTCACTAGCATCAACCCTCAAAACAGTCCCATGCTCCTGTATCAGTCATGGACAGCCCTCCTAAGTTTGTTAGTGAATGTTGAAAAATATAAACAGAAATAAATATAGGAACAAGGCTCATCTAAAAATCTCGTTCTCTTGTCTTTTTCATAAATATATATGTCGAAGGTTGAGGGGTGGGGGAAAAATTTTCCTTGTAAAAATATTCAACCCACCCACAAAGAAAAAGGAAACAAAACGAAAAAAGCTGACAAAGTGTAAATACAAAATTTTTCTTTTCCAGAAATTGTTGGTGTTTTACAAGAATTGTTTTTCCTTTTTTATAGTCCAGGTTCTTCTTATGACAACAATTTTCATACAACAGGAAATAGACTAGACACAGGAACAATTTTAAATGACTGACTCAAACTGGTACATCTAGCTTTTACCCGTATTATCACATGGACTGCTTGGACTCTGACTATTTGATATGGTGTCCTTTTATTTATACAAGCATATCACAGTAGACATAAAATGTATGTGAATATTTAACAGAAAAGTGCTCAGCTCAATTCTGAAGAGTGTCACTTGAAAAGTATAAAAATTCTAATAACTACAAAGGCTTAAAAACTGAAACTTTGGAGATTAATAATTTGATTTGTTATAAATGCTGTGTAATTTTTATCTTTTTTCATAAATTATAAATCAATTAAATTATATTTTAAGTTGGTATCTATTCAGTTGGGATCTTATCTATATAATAAATGTAAATGTGAATGTCAGTGTATCACAGTGTCACACTTTTTCAACTTTACTCCTAGAGACCGCAGCCCAACATATCATACCATTTTGGAATCAGGCTGACTCCATGAGCAAATTAAAAACATTCTGTGCTGAATCCAGATCCATAATCCTGAAATTTAGGATTCCCAAGTTTTCATTACTGTGATTGTTTTCAGCAATTTTTTTTTTTTATGTGATTTTTTGTGACAGAATTTTTTGTACAATAACAATTTTTATAAATTGGAAATGAATTTGATAATAATCATAATTAACCGAGAAATCCAGTGAAAGTCATCCATGAAATAAAAATCATTGTTTGTACAGAAAGTAAGGACCAATATCCATCAAATTGTCTTTAAATTAAATGATGACAGACAAATTAATGTTGAACTTTTAAATGATAAGCTTAAATATCAATGCAATACTTAAATGCAGAGATCAATTTTGTAGTTTATTGTTGCCTATCGCATATACTCCTCCCTATCTATTGTGATAAAGGCCTAATCAAGAGCCCTCTGCAAGAGCTAGCTTAAATGTCACCCAATAAAACCCTAATGTTTTAATAATTTAAAAAAAAAAATTTTTGTCTGAAACTGTTTAACAGAATATGTTTTAATAATATACCTGATAAAATTTGAATCTATCTAATTTGTTCATTTTACCAATCTTGATTTATACTGAATAGTATAACTTTTAGTAATACTAGTTAGTGAAAAAAGTGAGAAGAAAGTGTTAGTATAAAAATAAAGGACTGTCAAGGTGCATAAAGAAAAAATATAAACATGTGAATGACGGACTTCGACAACGGATAATGGAGAGAATATTTTATTCGACTCTCACTCACTACACAGTATAAACAAACATGGTGGCTGCCGCCCTGACTTCCGACCGGAAGTCCTTTTCCCGGCAGGGAGAGTTTTCAGGGGAGATAGCTCACATAGATTAACAGTTCTTCCCCTCTTTTCTCTTCTTTTCAGTTTGAAATCATCTAATCTGCAAAAGAAAAAAAAGGGGCCGGGTATTTACATTATACAGATGATTCCTTTGGTTCGGATATGAACCCAAGGATCTTGAATGATGGCACTCCTTTCTTTGTCAAGGAGTCGGCAATTTGTACATCAGTTGATATCCAAGAGATCTCTGCAATTTCCTGTCAATCATCATTTCTCTCAAAATAGCCATCTCTATGCGAAGTCTCTTATCCAAAATTTGGGTTGAGGAATGTACAGAATCATAGAGACAGGAATTGTCTGTTTTGCAGAAGATCTTAATGTTGTTAGTATCATCGTTCAATTGTAGTACTTCTAACAAAAGTTTTTAAAAAAAATACAGGCTTCTGCCATGTCAACCATGGCTAAAGTTTCAGCAGCTAAAGTACTTTTTGACAACTCTTCTAATACGCTTAGACTGCCAGGCAATGGGCATATACTTGTCATTGCTTCCAACTAAAAAAGTATATAGCCTCCCTGTGAACCTCCATCTGTTAAATTGCCAAAAGAAGCATCACTGTATGCAATAATTTTTAGGTGCTCAAGGTTCCCTAAGTCTGGAATATCTATATGAGATTTCTCCTTTTTTTTTTTTTTACCACCCTGTTAGCCTGTTTTAAACATTCTACATTTTCTTGTTTTAGTATCGAGCTTAACTCACTGACATCATAACTCAAGATCAGGTCTGGTTTGGGTGGCTAACCAATTGTTGTCCGATCAGTTGCCTGGTTTCAGTAACCTCTGTTGAAGATATTGCATCTTTCAAATTTCTGCCTGGTTCTAGTGGGATACACCTTAGCTTTTTTGACATATTCGTCCTGTCCAAGTTTAACATCATTCCCAGTTTTCTTTATGCTTAATCCTATATACTGAACTCAGCAACTTCCTCAGATTTGATCCTAAACAAGTGACGAATCCTGTCCATGACTCTGCTCTGAAAAATCTCCGAGCCTGCAAAGCAAAAAAAAAATCATCAACATGAGTAGCTATAATACCATGCAGTTTGTTTCCAAAGTTCCATGTAAATATGGCTTGATCATATTTTGAAACCACTGCTCCTGACTTCAACAATTCCTCTTTGAGTGTCAGGTACCAGGACCTTGATGCATCAGTCAAACCATATACACATTTGGAGAGTTTCCAAATATATCCTGGAGGTACCTTGGCTTCTTTGGGAGGATGCAAATAGATCAATCGGTCCAACTCTTTGCTCTGTAAAATGCTGTTTTTTATGTCCATTGACTTGCACACCCAATGGTTAGATGCCATTATAGCCAAGGCTATCGTAGACTTTCTTTAGAGCATGTTGGAGAATCATTTCTTATATTGCCCGCATCCCTTTCCTGAAAGCCTCTCGCCACAAGTCTAGCTTTATAGATCTGTTTGCCATTGACATTTTTTATTAGTATAAACCCATCTTGTGGATATTTTGCATTGGCCTTGGTCAGGCACTTGGGTGTAAACTTTATTTTCAACCCAGCTTTGGAGTTC